CCTTGGGGCAGGTAGATTTGAGATCAGTGAGAGACTGTGGCTGCAGGGAGGTGAAGTGAGTCAGGACCAGCTTCAGGGAAGATTAGCAATTTGCTCCACCTCCCTACTGCCAAACCCTTCCTGATACCAGAACCCTTCTGACAGCCATCAACTGGCTGTGTTAGATCACAGAATCATAAAATATCAGGGTTGGAAGGGACCTCAGGAGGTCATGTAGTCCAAACCCCTGCTCAGAGCAGGACCAATCCCTAGACAGATTTTTGCCCCAGATCCCTAAATAGCCCCCTCAAGCATTGAACTCACAAGCCTGGGTTTAGCAGGCCAATGCTCAAACCACTGAGCTATCCCTCCCCTAAATAGGTATCTGGGAACTAAACAATTCCTTAAGGTTTAAATGAAAGCCAACATCTTAGATACTCTTTTGGTACAGAAAATGTAGTTTATGTGAACTCTACAAGATTAACAAGCATATAGTCCATTATCTATTGATCCACCAAGGAATCATTTATTGCATTCTGAATTTGCTGTGGTTTAACCCACAGAAGCAATTCTATCTCTTCATTCTTTCAGGTCAGCAATTAAATCTGTCATTTAATAAAACAACATTAGCTAAAATAAAGACACTTTGCAGATTATTTGTATTACAATACAGGATACTAAGCTGTATACAAAAGGATAGGGGTAAATGGGAAGAAAATCAGACTCATTTTTCTAACACACTTAGGGCCAAATTCATCATTGCTATAAATCCACTGAAGTGAATGCTATTGCATTTATGTCTCCATGTACAAAGTGCAAAACAAATACTTTCAATCTAAAATGAATGTATTAGATTGAAGGGGGAAAACAACCTAAAAGAAATAACAAAAGTAAAGTCTCAATGAGAAAGAGCAGAGCGTGTGTAGTCTCAAATCTGAGAACAAAATATAGCTGTACTGTGCTCACCCAGTGAGCTCAGAAATTTAAAAGTTCAGCACAGAAAAAAAACCCCAAAAGACTGTAGAGATTCTCACATCATGACTTAATTCCACTCTCTCTGTCTAAAAGCCATAACAATAGCATATAAAAATCATGGGTGTTGAAAGGCATATGATATACCACAGTGTACAGTTGTAATGTCTGCATTTTACCAGCAGTTCTTAATCATGCCATTTTCTAAATAGCAACCTCTACATCTAAATTCACGTACTCTGGCAGCAAGCACATTGTGTGTCCTGGAGTCCGCCCTCCGAGTTTCTAGGTATACTAAGGGAGAGTTTATGAGGACATTTTAAATAGGTTGCTACACCCTGATGCAGATTATAGTGTTGTTTCTCTGAATGCAAACATGAAGTGCAGTGCCATGAGAGCTGTTGCTTATCTCTACAGCTGTTCAAACTTTAACATCACAACTGAGCGGGACCTGCAAACATTCTGTATGCAGGGCTACCAACTCTGGCTTCTTTAGCATTCACATGCAAGCCCTGACTTTTGAGAGTATTGCACCACACTGAAATTCAGTTGAGCGTTTGGAGCTTGGGAAAACTCTCCTGTTTTTAAAAAGTCTGAATCAAGAATTAAGAACATTTTGGGACAGATCCTCAGCTGGTCTCAATGGGCATAGCTCCAGGGTTCAGCCCTTTCTTTTCACATGCCTGAAAGCATGTGATTTATTTTACCCTTGGGTGAATGCTTTTTGCCTCCAGACTGATGTGCACAATTAGTTTAAAAGATCTTGTAACACAGAGTTCAGGAGGGATATAAAATAATGATCTAGTTTTACACCTTCCCAAAACACATAAAAACAGACTGCAGAATGAGGTTATAGCTAGGAGTTCTGCTTTGTTATCATTTAAAGGACTAAATATGTTTCCTTGTGGCTGCAAGTGCATGAAATGCTATCTGAAATGGTGTCAATTTGCTCTAAACTGATATGTTGTGGCAATAATATTTCTCAATCAGTTACATTGTGAATGAAAAGCTGTGTATTTTACTTCTACATAGAAGATTTTCTTGTACACGCCACACTATATTCTAGCTTAACTCATTCTCCCAGCAGTGGGGCAGAAGTGTTAACTACAGCAGAATTTGGCGTTCTATGAGTTTGCCTACACATGGAGTTATTCCAGAATAGCTATTCCTGAATAATTCCTTGTATGGACAGTTTTATTCCAGAAGAAGAGTATCGGGTTTTGGTTTTGCAACTACTGTCTCTCTTGCCCCTAATTCAGAATGACCCTGTGCCTCCAAGTGAGTGTATTACAGGTTTCATCTCAGCAGAACAGGAAATGGATTCTTAAAATATACAAGAAGCCTCTTCTCCCCCTCACCCCCCCAAGAGATCAACTGCTTCAAAGGAATGAATTGGGCCACTCAAAATGTAAAATGTCCCACAAATGTATCCACCTATAAAACAGATTTAATATATCTATATCACCCCTTTAATGAAAAAAAAAACACTATCAAAAAAGACCCACCAAATCGACTGCAGATCGCTCTCCAGTCGACCCCTGTACTCTACCCCCGGCGAGAAGAGCAAGGTAAGTTGACCGGAGATTTTCTCCTGTAGACCCACCGCGGTGTAGACCCCACGGTAACTTGACTTAAGGTACGTCGACTCTAGCAACGTTATTCACGTAGCTGGAGTTGCGTAGCGTAGGTCAATTTACCGCAGTAGTGTAGACATAGCCTGAGTTGCCAAAGTGGATTTGCACCTCTTCTCCTGTACTCCTAGCTGTTCTGCTCCTTCTGAGCCTGTTGAGATTGAAATAGACAGGAATTCTCTAGAGATCACTTGTCAATTTCACTTATCTCCTTCCTCAAGGACAGATTTCCAGAGGAGTAGACAGCTGGCAAGATATTTAACTTAATTTATTTAGACATATATAAATGTGTCCACTCCTGCCTCTAAAAGAGAAAATTAAATTAATTAGTTATATCCAGACATATACAGACTGGCCCCATGTCCCTTACTAAAACCCCATGACACTCAATCCTGTCCATCCCACACTAAGATTATAACTCTCCACTCCTATCTGCTAAGGAGATTAGTGCATCCACAATCACAACAAACCCAACACTCTAGGGCAGTGGTTCTTAAGCTTTACTGCAGCCTGCACCCCTTTGGTTCTCAAAATATGTTCTCGCACCTCTTAACAAAAATCAACATATGTTCTTGCACCCCTTAAACCTAGATATATTTGTTGTTTGTATATTACAGTAATCATTAAAAAATGTATAATGTTAATAAAATACATAGGTTTGATGAAACTAAGTAGTTGTACTTACGTGCCTGAGGTTAAATTTGTGTTTTCAATAATTTACCTTCAAAAAAAAAAAAAATCTGGCATCTCTCACACCCCCAGAAAGGGCATCTCACACTCCCAGGGGGTGTGTGCGTGCACCCCAGGTTTAGAACCACTGCTCTAGGGTTATTCTAAGTGGACCACTGAATTATGGTTTATTTTTTATTTGGAAAGCTAACTGAGCCAAAAAAAAAAAAAAAATGGGGGAAGAGGGAGAACGAAACATTTTGTGCGTGTCAACCTTGACAGTGTCCATTTAAGTGACATCTGCCAGGAAAATAGGATAATCCAATTTCTGCTGAAAGTTTGCATAGTCCCCTCATGAGCAATAATGGTGAAACTCAAATAGCCCTTCAGCGTAGCAGAATCAATATAACCTTTTCATTATTGTGAAGCAACTAGCTATTGATTGCAAGGAAACCTCTCTGCTCCCCCAGGAAAACCTCTTAATACATTGACTGTTCAGCAGCAGGAATTTATTCCAGATACAACAAGGTTTCAGAATGCAGGAATAGGAGGGAGACAATGTCCATTTTGGTATGCAAGCCACAAGTTGAACTGCTCACATTTTATACACAAAAACTAGCCACTATAAACAAGAAGCAGATTTCTGCTCCCATTTATGCCAATGTAAAACTTGATGTGAATTCAACTGCATCCTTCAGCTAAACTTGATGTAAATCCAGAATACCCATCAGCAGACCTTGCCCTTAACTGTCCTACATTTTAAATAACACAGAACTAGGGAGACCAGTTCTGTTCCATTTACATGTCATGCAATCCTACTGACTTTCATGGGGCATAACTGAGGACCAAATGTTTTCCAGGTTGTCTAGTGCTATAAAAGTGCTAGTACTTAACTACAATCACCCTCGACAATGAGTAAAAACTACTGTCCGCCGTGACAAAATTCTTTTATTTAAAACTGGAGGTAGAACATAACAAGAACGCTTCAGCAAACATCAGCAGTAACCTCTTATTAAAGTAAAGCAGAACCTTGTCAGCGTTCAGAAAATATAAGAGTGCTGTAAGTTATAAAATCATATACAAAAGTCAAACAATAAAGCGGGACAAAGTGGCAGGGGGGGGGAAAAATCACAACTAAGTTCATAATAAAAGTGTAAAGAATGGGGAAAACATTGTGCCAACCTCTTTTCGTTTTCCTTAGAGCTCTTAAGCACACGTGTAAGTTCTATCAGCAATAAAATGGAAGCATTGACACCTTGATGCTCTTTTAAACCAGCTGTTTGATATGCAAATATTAAGCAGAGGGCACCAAGCAACAGTTTTCTAGTGACCTGTCCCTGAAGATGTATACCTGCTGGCATATAAATCCACATGCCTTAGAAAAGTGTGATCTTCAGAAAAAATAAAAATAAAAAGCCTTTACAATAGAATCTGAAATGACCAAAAGGTAGAAGAAGCAAAGAAATAAAAAAGAGCTGTTTGCCATTTGAGGCCTAACTTCCTTTTCACATAATTGCGGAGCAGTTATGAACACGCTAGATGGGTGTGAGGACATTCCAGCGAGCAGTAATGCACAGCCACTCTCTCTCGCTTTCTCTCCCCTGCTTAACAAACTCACCAGCTTGTAAACTTGGGTGTCGGATTTCAGGGACCGATGTTTGCTTTACCTTTCCGTCCCGCACTCAACTCCTCCTAGGCAAACGCAGTTTTTGGTTGGAAATGTTTAAAAGTGCCAGCCAAGAAACTTACTCTGATAGTCCTGAGCGATTGTGTAGATCCCGCTGCTGGCAGGGCAGGGAAGGAGTTGAAGTCTGTTTCAGCACCACCCCTGGGAGCTAACCTGACAAGGCTTCTGTCTGAAAGGCTTGTGTGAGAAGAAGGCGTGCCCTGACTGCCTGTACACGGATACAAGGAACTAACCCCGGGCAAATCTTGCTTGTGACTCAACTGCAGGCACTAACTGCTAAATACACACTCTGCCCTTTGTTAAAGGCTCTACCCTGTTTGATGTTCTGCACACAGGCTAACAGCTGTGTGGTAGCAGTGTCAGGCTTAATAAAATGTGATCAGCTGCTGCAGGTTATCAGCACCAATTTAAGACCCTTTTTAGCATGGGGGGTTGCATTGATTAACCTAGCAGTATGGTCTCGAGATAGAGAGATACCACTTAATATGCTTGGGTTGGTATTTTTGCATTCAGGGTTACTTTTTGTGTTTGTAGTACTCTGTGTTGCTTTTAACAATTGTTTCTATGTAACTATATGTTTTATTGCATTATCACCAGCCCTCTGAGCCTGCCAAAGGCCAAATATGGGGCACAGTGGATGACAAAGACCTACAGGACACCAAAAATTATTCATGCAGGAAATTTAAAATGCTGTGATATCCCTTTCTTTAGTGTAAATGACTCTTCCTATGATCTCTGGTCCCTGACTCTTTATGTCTGATTTAAATGATTTTCTATAATAAAAGCAAGGGGGTGCTAAATTTGTTGGCAATTTTGAGAGCAAAATGAGTAATTTCTCTCCAAATGTGGTAAAGTTGAGAGGTATGCATATTATCCGCTCCACAAGTGGCACCATGCATAGGTTGTGTTCAAATAGCCACCGCTTTAGCAAAACAAAATAAAGTCAAAAAACATTTTCCTGGACTGTTATATGCCCATTAAAAGGAACATAGTCAAAAGTCCGTAATAGCAGAGCAAAGGGTGAATACTTATTTCCTTGATTAGTTTCATTGGGTGACCCCCTCCCCAGTGCTTGTGTTATGTGAAGGGGTAAATAACACTTCCTTATTCACTTTCTCCACACTATTTGTAATTATATAGACCTCTATCATTACCCCCCTTAGTCATCTCTTTTCCAAACTGAACAAGCCTTTCTAATCTCTATTCATATGGAAGCTGTTTCATAACCTTAATAATTTTTGTTGCCCTTCTCTGTACCTTTTCAATTTCTAATATATCTTTCTTGGAGCTGGGGTGATCAGAACTGCACGCAGTATTCAAGGTGTGGGTATACCAAGGATTTATATAGTAGCATTATGATATTTACTATCTTATCATCTATCCCTTTCCTAATGGTTCCTAACATTTTGTTAGGGGGGGGGGAGGGGAAAGGAAAAAAAAAAGCTCCCATTACACACTGAGCAGATGTTTTCTGAAAACTATCCACAATGACTCCAAGATCTCTTTCTTGAGTGGTAACAGCTAAATTAGACCCCATCATTTTGTATGTGTAGTTGGGATTATGAATTACTTTGCATTTATTAACATTGAATTTCATCTGCCATTTTGTTGCCCAGTCACCCAGTTTAGTGAGATTCCTTTTGTAACTCTTAGCAATCTGCTTTGGACTTAACTATCTTGAGTAATTTTGAATCATCTGCAAGTTTTGCCACCTCACTGCTTACCCCCTTTTCCCAGATCATTTAGACTCCTTCCACAAATCTCTTAGTATTAATATAAGTCCTTGAGTTGTTCTTTGTGGTATCCCAGAAGGAAATAAGACAGAATGCAAGCAGAAAGGAACATCTTGCAGCTCAGTCTCAGATCAACAGAGTTAGTCTCAGGTTGTGGGAGACCCAGCTTTCACATCTGTGTGTCCAACATGGATCTGTAATCTCTCTGGAGGTGGCATCTAGATCTGCAATACAGGTGTGTTTCTGAGAAAGAAGAAGACTGTAGTATTATCAGAAGTAAAGGCTCAGAGATTCAGAACAAAGCATTGCCCTAAATATTCAACCCATTCATCTACTTATCAGTCTCTGAAATCATTAAGGAATAGCAGTCTTTTAGATTATAAGATCTTTGGGACATGGACTGTCATTTACTAAATGTATGTAGAGTATCTAGCACAGGTCAGGGGTCCTGACCTGCTTGAGGACTCTAGATGTTTCTACTATAATATAAATAATAAATATATTTCTATCTAAAGCATTGTCTAACTTTCTAACTAGTCAATATGGGAGGAGAAAGCATATTCTTATGGAATACTGTCCCACTAAGTATACAAAGTCACTAGTTAGCGCATAGATAAGGGGTCTGTATATTGTATAGCCTCACTATATTGTAATCAGAGTAATAACTATTGCATTCAGAACGAATTGGAGTATCATGAGGAACTCAGACTACATGATCACAGTGGTCTCTCTCCTGGTCATAGAATCTCTGAATATAGTTTGCTTTAGGCCATGCAATAAAGTTGTTACAGTATGGTGTGGCCTAAAACAAACTATATGACAAACACTGGGAAATACAATAATAACAAATGAGAGAAGGAGGAGCTTAAGGAGGCTGGTTTACACTATGTGTTGATGCACATTAACTTTTCAACTTCTGAGACCTGGGTTCAAATCCATCTCCTAGCACAACTGAAAATGAATTTGCTGGCCTCACCTTAGTCCACTCAAGCAGCAGCTCAGGATTGAGATAGTGAAATGTATTCTAGATCAGTATATTATGCAATGCTGTGAAGGGAAGTTTGGTGGTAGGATGAAGAAACTTGCATCACACCGCTACTAACTGGTACATGTGAGACCCCAAGCAAAGTTACTTTCCATTTTAAAAATAAAAACACAAGGAAGAGAGAGAGGCAGAGCTGTGGGAAAGGAAAAGCAATAACAGTAAATAAGAAACAAGTGTTTTGATTATCTCACTTTATTTATTTTTCTACTTAATACATAAAAGGAAATAATTGTATCTTGCGGCTCTCATGAAAAATCTTCACTTAGGAGTTATAGTTTTCCTGGAATTCATTGATAAAATTGCAGCCTTCCATATAAATAGCATAATTGTCTATTGGTGTGAGTTCAGAGCTCAGAACTGACCAGGAGCTCAGATACCATGGTGATGAGCATGGTATAAATACCTAGATAGATTGAGGAGGACTGTGCATATAATATAACTGTATGTGGGATATCAGAAAACTAACTGCCAAATGCACTGCTCACTTACCTGTGGAAAACTCCATTGGTATCTGTTAATGTTTGCCCATTAATGCCACTGGTGAAACTGGTTTGAACTAGCATTGATGAAGTGCTAGAATTTTGCATTTTTGCCTTTTCTATTTACAATGCTGGACCTAACAGTTAGTGAGTGGTACCTATGGCACATGTTTGGTTTCCATGAAAGTCTTTTGGTGTTTAATTCTTTGGGGTCCTTTAGACTCTGCCATCCTGTCACCCCTCCTTGCCCTCAAAGAGCCAAAAACGGTGGGAAAGAAGAGGTGCATAGGAATTTCCACACTGGATCAGACCCTTGGTCCATCTAGCCCAGTAGCCTGTCTCTGACAGCAGCCAGTACAGGATGCTTCGGAGAAAGGTACAAGAAACACTACAGTAGGTAGATGTGGGATAATCTGTCCCCCAGGAGTGTATTATCCTAATCCCTAATAGAGTTTGAGTAAACTCCGGAGCATGAAGTTGTATATCCCTTTTAATGCTCTTTTTTAGGATTAACTATTATAATTCTTGTTTATCTCATTGAGAGAGAGAATAGTGGGGCACAAACTAGGTTGGGAAAGAAAAAAAAGAGTAGGGTTACAAGTCAGGGGAGAAAGCGGGGAAAAGAGAATGGGAGAAGTAGGGCAGGCAGAGAGAAGGGGAGCGAGAGAAGAGACAGATACAGGTGGGGAGAAGTGGGCTCCAGGTGAAAGTGAGGGGAGCAGAGAAGTGAGGGAGCAGGGTTGAAAGAAATAAGGGATAAGAGGAAGAACAAAACAAGAAGGATATGAAAGAAAAGAGATGAGAAACAAATACAATGGAAGAAGAGGGCAGTGAAATTCTCAAAGCTGGAGGAAATGGGGTAGGGACCCAGTCAAGGGGTAGCTTTCAGGTGGGAGGAGTGGTGTAGAGGACAATGTGAGGCTGAGGTGGATGGACCTAGCCACCCAAGTCCAAGCTTGCCTGACCCCCCAACTCCGAACTCAGGCAGCTAGCCTGAGCTGCCAAGCATGCAACAACATCCACACTGCTCTTTTTAATGCGCTCCCGTGAGCGAAGTTAGCATGAGTCTGTCTACCCATGCTGGGAATCCCACCTCCGTGCTGCAGTGTAGACATACTCAGAGATGCTCCACTTATTCTTCATGTCCCAGGCCTGGTAGATCTTGGCTGGGGGCCTGAATAGATTTATATGATAAACTGTGTGGAGCAGCTGCTATTGTTTTGTAGAGATGTGGGGTGTGTCTGGAGAAACAAAAGGTCTCTGATGGAAGGTGGGGCTCTCACCTGCAGAGGGGCAGAACAGATGGGGGCAGGTTGTAGCGGGGTCTCAGTTCGTTGTTAGAGAATGTCTAGAGAAAATAACTGAGAGCTCCCTGCCTTAGTAAGAAGCACAAACAACACTGTGATGGCTGATTCTAGTATGCAATTTGAACATGCAGGACCCCTGCTGACTTTGGTTGGTTGGTTTTTTTGTAATTGAGTGGGTTCAGAGAGGCATGCAAAGTGGAATAGCTGCAAGTAAACTTTCATAATCCTTCTGGGCAATTGGTCAAAATGCACATGCTATGTCCAGGACCGAGGGATTACCAGCTCCTTATAATTCTGTGTAAATGATATCTGGAGTTTGTTTACTGGCTGCATTTACAATTGCACCATCACTACCACTGGCAGCTGGTCTCTCATCCACAGCCTGAACAGCTTTATTCGTTTGATTTCATTTGGGCTTCTCCACATAGTGCTGTGTGTGTCCTTTTTTATGGCAGTTCCAACACCGCTCACCTGTGAAATGACAGCTGCTCACTTCAGCTCATGTGGCATGCATCACTCTTCCCACAGGTCATTTCCCCTGGTACTTTTTCCCCCTGTAGTCTC